TTAATGATTTTAAAATGTGCGGAGTAAAAAGTATTTAATATTAATTATATTTAATATTCAAAAATAATTAAAGTTTATTTATGTGAATTAAAACTTATTCTTATTTAATTTTTAAATTTGAATAATTCAACTCCAAACTTTATTAAATAATTAATTCTCCTTGACTTTTCCCAATGGCAGTCCGCAATCAGTTCATGTACAATGATTTTCAACACTGTGCAGGACAATGGGCCAGTTTCGAAGTTAGTTGTTTGACACAGAGTATATTTAAACAAAAATAATTTGAAAATTGAATTTAAATAAATTATATTTTGAAAAAGTGTATCTAAATAAAGTAGATATTAATTTTTCATAGATACACTAGTAAAAAATACATTATAAATTTCTAAATATTTAAATTATAATTTTAAATTCTTTTAATATATTTAGATATTATATATATATATATTTCAAATTTAACTAAAAGCACAGAGAAGACTATTTTAACCTATCATAAAGAACGGGGGTCCGAGTTGACCACATCGGGCCCCACCCATATACACGGGTTATTTGAAATAGAATAATCAAACCGGTTTTAAATATTACGAAGGGAGTGTCCAGGCGGCGTCAATGGCACATAGGCAAAAAGGCCACCGCAAACCACTGGTTGTGAATTATTAAATTTAAAGAGGTCAACCGTCAACGAACCAGCCAATCAAATGCTGATATTAGTCATAATGGATAAGAATATTGATAACTTTTGAACCCTTCCGTGTAATTTCAACATCATTTACCTAACAAAACAAGTAATTCATATGCTTTTCTATTCCAGTACCCCATTAATTGAGATAAGAAATTATTCAACAATGAAAAGTGCCCTGGTTGAACAGCTAACTCGCCTTTACACGAACCTTAATTTTTGTTTTTGTTCCAATCAAGAGTGGCCTAATCCTCCAGGCCAAACGATCTGAAATCTAAGGGTTCCAGCGGTTTACAACGCTGCTACCAAAGGAAATCCCGCGAGTCCTTACCCAGAAAATGGACCAACTCGAAAAGCGGCGCACTCCCAACGGCGCCAATTATTATTATTTTTTAATTAATATAATCTATTTTTTATAGGGTTATAAGTTTTATATAATAAAGTTTAATTATAATTTATTCATTGGTTGTTATAGAATTACTAGTATTGATTTTTAATTACTATAAATTATGATTTGTAGAATTATTCTTTACAATTTAGTGGCTCAATTTAATAAAATCATGTGGGCTTAGGTTTTGTAAAGTCTCGGTCCCAACAAAGTCTAATAGACTTATTTTTCCAAACCATGGCCAAACTACATTAATTTCAAGTGGACTTGGGTTTTAGATTTAATTATATTATCAAAATTAAAATTAAGAAAAATAAATAAAAAATAAACATAAAATTTTAGATAAATAATATTAAAAAGGTTACGATATAAGTTATTATATATGATAAAGTTAAAAGTAACAATTTATTCATAAGTTAATATTAAATTACTACTTTATTTTGATTCGTATAGTCAATTTATAGAATTGTAAGTTACTATATCATAAAGTTATAAGTTATAATTTATTCATTAGTTATAATGTAAATATTATTATTACTATAATCAATTTATTGAATTATAAAATTATTATATAATAAAGTTGCAATTTATAAGTTATACACAAGTTATTACAAACTTATTATTACTAATTTATATTTATTATTATCAATTCATAGAATTATAAATTATTATTTGATAAAACTATAAGTATAATTTATTCATTACTTTTTATAGAATTATCATTATAAATTTTTAATTGCTATAATAAATATTATAATTACATTTTATTATTTAATAAAATTATAAGCTGATACATAAGTTATTACAAAATTATTATTACTAATATATATTTATTTTATCAATTTATAGAATTATAAGTTATTATTTAATGAAGTTATAAGTTATAACTTATTCATAAATTATTATAAACTTATTATCATTAATTTCTAAATATTATTTTCAATTTATAAAATTATAAGTGATTATGTAATAAAATTTTAAATTATGATTTATAGAATTATTACTTATAATATAGAAGCCCAATTTAGTAAAATCATTTGAGCTTGAGTTTTGTAAAGTCTTGGCCCACGCAAGGCCTAATGGACTTGAGTTTTGCCAAAATTTAGCCCAACAATAATGAAGCAGGTTTGAACATTGGATTTGATTATATTATGAAATTGAAAATTTAGAAAAATTAATACCAATTAAATATAAATTTCAGATAAATTTTTAAAAAATATTTCCAACAGAAATATATATTAATTAAAATTTATTTTATATTTTATTTTTCTGATGGAATTATCCATTGGAAAAATTATTTATCAGAAAATTATTCTATTTTTATTTTTTTGTCAAAAAATTTATATTCTAGAAAAAATTAAATTAAGACTTTCAAACAAATTAATTCTGTTAGAATATGTGCTTTTAATTTTTTTTAAAAATTATACTTTTCCTACGGACTTTAAAATAATATTAAAAAAATTTGTTTAATGGACCTTTTGATTTATTTAAAAAAAATTTAAAATCATTTTGAGACGATTTTAATTCGTCACAAATCCCGCCGCACGCCATTTTTCAAGCGGAAGTTGCACTATTCCAGGGGCTATTCCACTGGCAATTGTTTCTGATGGGCATTCAGTCCACTTTAGAAATGCGACAATTTTCTCGACTGTCAGTAAATTTTTTGTCAGAATTTTGTATATTTCTTCTAGTGCAGGAGCCGGTTGACACAACCCTTGACCAGCCATAGGCTCACTTTATACCCCAAGTCCCAAAGCCACTTCCTTTTCCTTGGTTACAAGAGAATGTCCTTAAGTTCGGTTGCCAAAAAGCCCTTAATGCATTTGGTAGATGGCCTTTACATAGATCAACCCCCATGGCCGTCAAAACCCTCTCACCTAATCCATTAATTTTGGGTAGACCACTTTGCCATTATCTAACCACTATTCATTGTCTACTTGTACATTTTCTATGCAATTTCATTTAACAGTGTGTATAAGTCAAGTTATGATACATATTTTTTTGACATAGAAAAGACTTCTTGAACTTGGTACCTCGGCACCCACACTTGTTCCCTATCATGTTTAGCTTCTTTAATTGTTTTAGTTAAGATTTTGTATAATTGACTAACATTTGACCAATGAATATTTTAATTACATATATAGGAGTTTTCATAGTTTTTAAATTATACTAATTGAATTGTATCCAAAATTCATTTTTTTATAAAAAAAATTGTAGACATTGATTAATACTATACTAAATATTTTGGTATTATTTTAGTTTTATAAATTTAAAAAAAACCAAAATCTATATCACACCGAATATTATATATAATAATTTATTAAATTATCAATATTATCTTCTAATATTACAAAACAAAATTGATTTGTAAAAAGAAAGTTTTCCAAATGTGATATTCTCAAACATTTTATATACATCTCACCATTTTATTATATATATAAAATATATGTATGTGTATATATATATATATATTATGAGATTTAGGATGTTCGACTTGATGTAAGTGCATATGTTTTGGTGGTAAATTGTCTTAGCCTAATACTATTAGCATTCTAATCAGGAGGAGGGCTTAACGCTTGATCATTTGACGCGGCGCGTCACATGGACAGTTGTTAATCTGATTGTTACATAAATGGTGGTTTAAGTTTAAATAGATTAAAAATAGGGGTGCCAGTGTAATATATACAAACCGTAGAGGTGTGAGTGTAAATTACCCGAAGGAAAAAGGGAAAAAATAGTTACAAGTATTGCTTTCGTTCCTTCATTCCCTTCGGACTGTCACTCACGAGGGCCACGACGGCGACTCTCAGTGCCTGCAGGATAACCGCATTAACCGTCTCTCTCTCTCTCCGTCTCTCCCTCCTGTGGATCTCCATAACTAGGATCATGCAATTTGGTTTTGAATCTGTGGTTTTTTTCTTCTTATATACACGCTCATTCGTGTAATGTGCATATGCCTTGACGTGTACATGAACTGGTTCCGAAATTCTCATTCTGCTAAAAGGTACCGGAATCATCAGAAAATTGATCGTTGGTAGTGATTTTAGTATCTGACCTGGGTGAAAGAATCTTTTAGAATCCTTTGCTCATCTGGGTAACTTCTGAATCCTTTTTTCTCGACGTGCTTGATCTTATTTTGATAGATTGGACGTTCACAAAATTATTACTGAATATTTTATGTTGTTCTCAAAGTGCAATCTTCAGAATGATATTTATTGTCTACAATACAGTTACAGTGGTCACCCATTCCGGCTGGCAACTATAATATGGCTCGTGCCTTTATTGTTGATGATTTCGTGAAAAATAGCATTGTCATTAGGAGCAATAAAAAAATTTTAGGATTATCCCCTCTTTTACAGCCAAATCTAGAACTGATATACAGTGCCCTGCCAGCTATAGTTATTCCAGAATTTTCCAAATTGAATTGGGTGGAAACAGTGGAAGAAGAAATGAACCGACTGTAATGAATGAAGAGATGAGGAATAGTTCTGGCAGGTGGCTACCACTGTGAGCTTTTATTTATGGAAGAGTTGCCACCTTACATGATGAATAGTGCTAAGGCTAGAACTCAGTATAAATTATAAGTGCATTGACATTAGTGGTCCAAAATTCTTGGTAGGACATCATATAATATAATACAAAATAAACATAACACAAGCCAAAAAAAAAAAAAAAAAAAAAAAACAAAGAACAACGGCAAATGTGACATATAAGTGAACAAGATTGTCAATCCTCTTTTGATGGCATAGTTCAAGAGTAGCATGATCGAATCTGGTGCTACCACATTCTCTACGGTGACATGGTGTAAGGCCCTGTGTGGGTGGTTGGTTGATTACAGCTCCCTTCAACAAAATTTACATGGAAGCAGCTGTGTTTGGTCTGTTTCTAATTGGTTGAAAATTAACTCAATCCTCTTTATGCTATCTTGCAGCATTCAAATGGCAGACATCAGACAGTGCCTTCTGCCACAAAAACCTGCAAAACTTAAAGACCTACCTTATCGAGCTTCTGCTTCTGAGCATCACCTTTTCAAGGAGTGAATGTTCTAGGCCTCAAAAAGCGTGGACAAGGTCTTCGTGCATGGATCCGTGTTGATACATCTGGGAACTCCCAAGTTCTTGAAGTTGATAAGTTTACAATTATGCGTCGTTGTGACCTTCCTGCACGTGATCTACGCCTGCTTGATCCCTTATTTGTATATCCATCAACTATCCTTGGAAGAGAGAAGGCCATAGTTGTGAATCTAGAACAGATTCGATGTATCATTACAGCTGATGAGGTTCATGCTTTTTGAATTCTCTTGATAGTTATGTATTGCAATATGTTACAGAGCTACAACGAAGATTGAGAACTGCAGGTGTTGGTGAAGACTGGAAAGCAGAAGGTATTGACTTCAACAGAAGGACAGCAACTAGGAATTTTGATAACATGTTTGCAAGCACATCACCTGATTACTTGCCCTTTGAGTTTAGGGCCCTTGAAGTTGCTCTTGAGGCTGCTTGTACATTTCTTGATTCTCAGGTGTGCATTCAAAGAGAACCCCCAAAGTATAGTGTGTGTGTGTAAAATTGATGGCCATCAACTGTTTGATTTTGAATCCATGCAATTGGTTATGTGACCAAGTTCTTTAATGGGCTTGAAAATTTGGTACTTGAATGTAGAGTTACAAATTTACAAGGAATTCTTTCTATGTTTTTGGTTATCGAGAGCTAAAGTGATTGCCTTCACTGGATAGGATAGGAGAACATTGAAAATGATTGTTCAAAAATTGACATGACAAATGTATTGTTCTTACTTAATCAGGTCATTAAGTATATTGGTCTTCTTCATTTATTTTGACTAGAATACACTTTTGTTCATATAAATTAGCAAAAAGTCAAGTTATTCTCAATAAGAAGTGACAAAGCACTTGGTAGATTGGCTTCAATAGCCAAATACACCTTTTTATGGTTGCAAGTTTTGAAATTATGGTGCAACATTCATCTCTGCAACTCTTTCTAGGTTCTTCCAATAGCACTTCTCCTTTGAAAGCTAGGCACTTTTGATGCTGTTCCGATCCATTTCTTCCTATCCCTGCTAAAACCAACGAAGCTGGGGAAGAGAAAGAACAAAGGCTGTAGAATAGTGTTTCACTTATTTGTCTTTCATTTCTGACTAGGTGAAAGAACCTTCATTTGGACATGCTTAGGTCCTTGAAACAGGGTGCAACCAACAACTTAGTCTAGAGTCATTGGCAAAACTTATTGGCACCTCTGACTCCAAATAGCATCTTATTGGCAAAACTATAATTAATATTATTATTTTTTCTCAAGGTACTTTGGATTTTGGATCTCATGAATTTTGACTCTCTTCATCCTGCCAAATGGAAGCCAGTAACTATGGATTCTAGTCCCTAGTTATCAAATTTTATGAATATGCACCTATGATTATTTCAACTTTTGATAAGAATTTTTTTGTAAGTTTTTTGGTGAAGAGTTGTGTTTTTATTTCTGTTAGCTTGTTGTCTCATATGTAGTGGGAAGTGGGAATTGGGAACCATCAGTGATCAATAATATAGTTCTACTGTTTAATAGAACCTTCGAAGCCTTTAATCCTATTGCAGAATGGCCTTCTAAAATGGTCACATTTGTGATGTTCAGTATATGTTAGACTTTTGTGCATAATATAATTCTTTTCTATATGGATCATTACCCATATCAAGCAGAAGGTTGATGGAAAGTAAAATATGGCTAAGAAAACTTGTACCTGAAACTGGTTCCTTCTAGTAGATTCATCAGCTGGGAGTTTTGAGTTTGTAGAACTCTAAAGAGAAATTGTTGTTTACTAGTTGAAGTATTTAGTATTTTAGTATTTGTTTTACTTTTGGTTTGTTTTCTTATTTTTTTCATTCTTTTAATAAAACATAAATCTTTGAAATTTTGAATAAAGAAACTGAGATGACAAAGATGTACACGCGTCCGCGGCGGGGGGGGGGGGGGGGGGTGGTGTT